CCCCCCCCGCCGTAGGCAGCCTCAAGCCTTGGGGCCAGGAAGCCAGGTGTGTCATTCGAGGGTCTACATTAGAAAAGAAACTTCTGGATTTTGATTTCTTCTCCTTCTTTCAGCATATCCACTGAAATGACCTTGCTTCTTGACAGCCTCAGGCTCCATCTCTGTCTGTCTCCCTCCCCTACGCCCCCTCCCTCCTCTCCCCTCCTCCCTCTTTAACGACAGATCTTATTTCTTCAGTCCCACTTTCCAGAGCTAGTGTGTGTGTCTGTGTGTTGTTGGAGGAGCGCCCTCAGGAGGATGGGGGAGCAGCGATGTCCATGTCAGGAGGAGGAGATCATTCCTCCTTCTCTTTCCCTCCCTGGCCAGCTGGAAATGTGCCACGTGACCAACGGATCTAATTAACTGAACTTTCAGTCTTGACAGAAGGAGGCTTTAAAAAAATAAATATATAAAGAACTCTAGCTTTCTTGGCTCTCAGCCTCTTGAGAGATAAGGGACAGGATCTGATTGCAGGGAAGTGGAGTCCCAGCTCCCTGATTCTCGCTGCCAGGGGCAATCAGCTGTGAGCTGAAACCTCCATCTTGAAAACACCATGTGGAATGAAAAACCCCCGAGTGCACAAGAACGGCGACTCAGGAGTCCTGGGGCTCAGACCCCACGGGAAACTCGGCAGCAGCAAAGCAGAGATCAGAGGGTAAGAAGGCGTATCCTTCTCGCACCTTCCACCGGGTGCCTGCCCCCAGGCAGGCTCCTCCTCGGTGCCACCTGCTAGCCTCCCCAGGGTCACCCGGTGCAACTCCACTCCATGCCAACTCCCTCTTGCAGAAGCACTCATCTCTCAGGGACGTCTTGCCAGACCCAGCTTTCTCAGCCTCCTGGCTCCCCGGGGCCTCTCACGGGCCACCCAGGCTGTCCGCCCTCCCACCTCCCCCTTGCCCAGCCAATGGCTACGTGCAGACCTCCAGCTACACAGAAGGGGCATGCCAAAGGGACGCCAGTGGCACACAGAGCAAAGGCAGAGCCACTGCAGATGGCCTCAGGGGCCCTTGGAGGTGGCAGGAGGACACAGAATTCTCCCAACAAGGGCTGCAACCTCAGACGGAGCTGCAGAGCATGAAAAGCCTGTGGGGACATTATTTTCTAGTGAAAAGAGGAAGTGGCATTGTTTCGGGTGCCACTGCAGTGCCAGCCTGCTTTCCCCTCACGGCCACTCATCAGATTTTGTCACATTCAAAACATTACACTGGACAACCCACCCGGAGAGTGGCACTGGCCAAGCTCATCTCCCGTCACTACCGTCCCATCCTCACTGGCCCAGCGCTGGAGGGGGCAGGAGGATCTGGGTCAGACCCACGGGGGCTGGACAAACGCAACTCAGGGTCACTGGAACCTAATGGGAGGCAGCAGACAGACAGGACGGCAAGGGGGCTGCCCCAGACAGAGCGCCAGGCCCGGGTGGAATGAGGACACAGTTCCAACTCTGGAAGGAGTTCTGCCTCCTCCCAGGGAGCTTGGACTGGGGTGAGAAGGACAACAAGGATACACAGTGCCCCACCAGCCATCACCATCCAGCCCGAGTAAACCTCACCAGCAAGTCACTCAGACAAGTAGGTGTTCGAAACTCAGAGACCACCCCCCACAACACACATACATATTTGGTTCTCACCTTTATTCCCCAAGGTGGTTATTATCTCTTTACACTTGGATTTATAAGCCTAGTGACCTACAAATAATTTTATTCTTTCACCTACTATTCACTTGACCATCAAGTGGATGAGCTCTCAGCCAAACAGTGAAGCCTCCCACTGGTGGTGTTAACTGTTCAGAAACCACAGCACAGTTTTAAACCAAATTGTACTTTTCCTATTTGAAAAAATAGTTTTTCCCCACATCAAGGGGTGATGACCCCATGCAAATCCCTAATGAGAAATGTTTAACCTCAGTTTAAGCGAAGTCTGAAATATTTACCAAGTTCTTTCAGAAAAAAAAAATTGATTTCTTGCCTTTGGCAAATATGATCTATTGAGCAAAATGGTAGAATATACGGTATTATGGTCAAATTCCAAAATGATAACCAACCTGGTATCAAATGGATTTATTTGATCTCATTTACAGTATTACAGAGTACAGAACTCTCAAATAAGAAATCAGAGTCTGATTTTTTTTTTTTTTTTAAATTTCCAAAGCTTGGTCGTAGGGGTTTGCTAGTCTTTGTAGTTTCTACTTTATTTGAAAGGGGGCTCATGAGCCCACTTCCTACTTAATATCAATATCTGACCTTTGAAATTAAAATTGACATTTATTATCCTTTCCCATTATGCCAGCATTGCCAATTACACTTAGCACCAACTTCAGATGTGACAGATGCTCACCTGCCCTCTAGCTAAAAATAGCTGTCATCGATGTCAGGAATGGCAAACGTTCCCTGCCTGCTTAATAAAAGACCATTAGGCCACTCTGTGAAACAGGTAGACAAATCCCTCGCCAAAGAGTACCCTCCACTTCACCCACCATGGGATGTCAAAAACCTTCGCATATCAGTTGCTGAGAGAGCTTTTATCCATTAAAAGCAGAGATCTAGTAGTACCCCAATTCACAAGCATAAGCTGCACACGCGATTTTGCAGAACCCAACGGTACCAGAGTTTCGGAACAAGGAGCCCAGAGACATGGGACTCAAAGAAAATTCCACAAACCTTGGCATTAGCCTCCTCTCTCAGTCTTTGCCAACACCACATAACAATTCCAGCAATGTTGCAATGGGTAATCTAGTTGAATTCCGGGTATCTACTCTGCACAGCCAATAGCGTTCTATTGGGTTTCCCTTGAAATGCATCAGTGCAATTTATACTAATTCTCCTTCTTGCTGGAAAACGTTCACAAACTATCTTAATTGCTTGAAACAATTATACTATATTGTAATTATCACACTGCCTTGCAATTATTTGCTTTGTGAATATGTCCCTCCCCCACCCACCTCCACCTCCAGGTGTGAGCTCTTTCAAAGAGTTCCCTGTGGCCTCAGTATCCACTATGTGCCTGGTACATAGAAAAACTCAGTACCGGGGCGCCTGGGTGGCTCAGTCGTTAAGCGTCTGCCTTCGGCTCGGGTCGTGATCCCAGGGTCCTGGGATCGAGTCCCACATCGGGCTCCCTGCTCCGCGGGAAGCCTGCTTCTCCCTCTCCCACTCTCCCTGCTTGTGTTCCTGCTCTCGCTATCTCTCTGTCAAATAAATAAATCTTTAAAAAAAAAAGAAAGAAAGAAAAACTCAGTACCTTTGGCTGAACTGAATAAATACGAACTGAAGCTACGTCAATCACTTCTTCCTACTTAGATTCTGTTATGACCCCCGTAATTTAAGTTATATTTAAGTGGTTACTCAGCAAGGCTTATCAGGAATCTTGAACATCTACTGTGGGCTGCGGTTACAGTAGACCAATGTAATGCGAGAAATCGGCATTTTCAGCTATTTACGTATTTGTCTCCTTAAGTGTCTACATCCCAAAAAAAAACATTAGTAATCCTGAGTACTAGAATCTCTAAGGCAAATCTCACATTAAAGTTAAATAAGTACGTGTAAGCCTAGCTCAATGTCTAGTACATGGGAATTGCAACATTAGCCCTCTGCCCCCACGTTCTGATTACTGTCTCTAGTAACGTCAAAGCCTGAAGGTAACAATTTGGTTAATGCCTTCCCATCCACTGACACCTGCCCTATCACTTCGGGCCAGTGGTGGCAACAATCATCCAGACACCTGGGCACAGTCTTTTTTCCTGAAGCCAATGAATCGTTGCTCTGTTTTAATCTTACTCGCCCCTCTCACCTCCCGCCACCTCAATCCACCGTCGTTTCGTTGAAGCCAAACTAACAAGTGGAAGATACCTGTGGGACCCCATGCGTGCAAAACATAACTAGGCAACAATAAAGGGAAGAAAGAGGTTTTCAACCTTCTTCAAAGTTGACGGAACAATTGAGCAAACAATAAAAGACCCTCCCTCGCATATAAATGTTTACTGATTTTTAGCCTTGTGATTTGGGGGGGGTGGTGAGCTGCAACAGGAAAGAAGTGACAAATGCAACAGAAACAACTCGGAGCAGAATGTGCCCCCATGAAGAACTGTGCCACCAGCAAAGGACAGCTTCCCAGACACGGACGAGCAGGACATGCCCATGGAACAGAAAAATGAAAATAGCCAACTAACTGTTTGCTCATGAAGTCATTCTCTTACCGTAATTAGAGTCTTTGAGGGCCCCTGACCAAGAAACTCCCTAACCGTTGGAGGCAGATATTCTGACCTCTGCTGCAATCACATGTGAACTGGGTCCCCAAGTCTCTCATTCTTGGGGAAACAGAAACTTGTAAGCTGAGGACGAGATCCTATGCCTTAGCGACCCACCCAGACGTAAACTCCCAACGCTATGCAGCCTGCAACCCCCAGCTGGCCTCACCCCATACAAAGAATGGCACAAGGGGTTCACAGATTGCCACTCTAATACTCCAAGCAACTCAGGAGAGGCGCTGAGGTTAGATCCCAGGAGCTGGCTTCATTAGGTAGGTGAAAGCATAAACGCCCACCCGGTAATGAAGTAAGATTACCCATCATTGTCTGTTCGTTGTTTGGGGGTTTTTTTAATTTAATTTTTTTTATGTTACATTTATTTGTTGCCTTGATTTATTTTTTTAAAGTAGGCTCTCCCTCCCAAGGTGGGGCTTGAACTCACGACCCCAAGATCGAGAGTCACATGCTCTATCAACTGAGCCAGCCAGGTGCCCCTGTTTTTAATTTTACAAGCAAACTCTTTAAATCTAACACAATCCAAGCCAGCAGAGGCGATTCTGACCCAGGTATTGACACTTCAAGGAACTGCTGTTGTGCTCCAGGACTATCCACAGGTCTAACAGGCGCATCCATCCATCCAGACCAGGCTGCTGATGGGCGTCCAAACCTCCGTGACCTCCAAAGGTCACCGCCAAAGAAATAAACTCAGGTGTACTTACGAAGGGCATGCCACTCATCCTGACGGATGGTCTTCGTGATGTTGAAAGTGAGGTTCCTGGGGATGGTGGCTGAGGAGTAGTGGTATTTGATGTACGTGCATCGCTCAATTTCTCCTGCCAAAGAGAGACGGGAAACCAAACGTTAAAGAGGCAGCAACCACGTCTGGGGCAGTTTCTGGGACCCATTTTTCTGTCCTGGGGAAAGAGACTTGTTTCCTATCGGGCCTGGTGACACCTATAGTTTATACAAGGCAATAACTTCGATGCCAAAAAGTCATGTCTACTCTCCACAGGGTAGAACTAAAGTCAAACACCATCGATTTAGAAAGAAAAATACCTCTGTGGCATCATTCAGGGATGGGAAGAGCCAAAGCTTAGGCTGATAGCAGCTTGCTAAGGAAGTAGGGCCTGTGGTTGTTTAACCTTAAGAAAATCAACTTTCAAGTGATGGGAAGAGGCATGGCATCAAAAGACAGGAACAGTTTTTACCCATGGACCAACGCGGAACAGGCTCTGGCCTTAATGAGGTCATATGTGCCTGCAGCACCTGCCATCTCGTGGAAGGGTGAGCCAGAGCGGCCTCTTCTCTGGCCTCCATCCCGTGCCCCAACCTCACCTCTGAGCACAAAGCCCTCAAATCCATGTCTATCTCCTTGAATCAGGCTCTTCTCAGGCTTCTTGGGGGGGGGGGGGAAATCAAGCCCCTTAACATACTCAACACCTGGTCCAATGGAACCTTTCCTGATAATCTGCCTAGCAAAGCATGCCTTGCCAACTTATCGAAGTACTCCTGTAACTTAGAGCAGAGTTTCTCAAAGTGTGGTCCAGGGCCCACTCACATCCTCCAGGAACTTGCTAGAAATGTCATTTCCTAGGCCTAATCCCAGAGCTGCCGAATCAGAAACTCAGAGGTAGAGCCTGCAATCTGAATTTTAATAAGCCCTCGGGTGATTCTGTTGTACACCTAAGTTCGAGAACTGCTGCCCCCGAGAATCTAACAGAATTACCAATGTATTAATTCATACATCCAGCATGTTTGCAAATTCCAAAAGAAAGGACCAACTGGGAGTTCCTTCCTTGTCACTTTTGGTCTCCTGCAGGCATGTCTTTTGATGCTTACAAATATCTGGGGAATATTAAAACTCAATGTCAGGGGATTGTAAAGAATCAGGGAAGACGTGATTTCTAAGGGTTAGGGGTTTTAAAATGTGGTTTTGCACCTGAATAGATTTTGATGGTAATCCATTTTGCACCCCACTGATTTTCAATTTGTTAGTGGTGGCACCTGATTGAATTGTTTGACCCCTGGCTCACTGTCAGCAGGGAACCCAGCAATTGGTGGAGGGCAGTAATTTAGACAGTACCTCTCATGAATCGGATGCCTTATTGTAAATCATATCTGGACAACTGCCCTACTGTCAGTTATCGGCAGGCACTCCTCCAATGGGACAGACACTGTCCAGGGAGGCAAAGTTTGGAGAAAGTGTTAGACACCCTTTTCCTTCTTCACCTCCTCTGCCTCTGTCCCCTTAGCCTTTAAATGTCCTCAAGTCTCTCACGTGCCCCCGGCATTCCCCCCTGACCACATCCGCACCGGGTCTTCCTTCTTCCCTAACTTGCTATCTTGCCCTGCCTTCTTGGGAAAGTCGTCTATATCAGACCATCTCAAGTAACGTTCATACCCTAAGCCCACGTGCTCTGACTTCCATGACAATCTCCTTGAATAGCATCAACCTCCCATTCAGTCTACAACATAATAAATCCCCCGGCCATCCCCAAGGCCTCCCCCTCTCTAGTGGGGCCCATCCTCCCTGACACCCAACTGGTCACCAAATTCTGTCAGTTCTACCTCAGAAGTGTCCCTGGAAGGCAGCCCATCCTCTGTGCCCTCAGCCTCTAGAGTAATTGTGTGAGTACAATGACCCATCTCAACAAACGGCCACATTTACTGAAGACTTGCTTGTAGGAAACACTTGCCAAGTGCTTCAGAAAACAATGGTTTCCAACTTGATTCATGTCATGGCACACACAGACGAGATGTGTGCAAGGCTCCCCGGGATAAACGGATGCGGCTGCCTGGGCCCCGTCAGCCTCCCTGTTAAGGAACCAACATCCCCAACCTACTTGTAACCCTCCATGTTCTGTACTTATCCCAATGGCAGAAAACCCTGTGCTGGATATTGTCTTACTTCATCCTTCATACAACCCAATTAAGTAGGCGTTCCTATGACCATCGGCATAATATGATCACATTTCACAAATGAGAGAAGAGGCTCAAAAAAATGGAGTGACCTTCTCAAGGAAAGAGCAGCACCAGGATGAGAACCCAGAAGTGTCTGACCAGAGCTTCCCTCCGCCAAGCCACCCTCCACACTGCTGCTTGGACTCTATTCCAGAAAGGAAACTGTGGTCTCTCTTACACACGGGATAAACCTCACACTCCTCAGGCAGGAAGTCCCAGCCAGGTGGCCTTCCCTACCCTGCCCTGGATCGGCCGTATCCATCAGGACTCTGCACCTACTCTCCTATCTTTCTTCCCCTGATGCACACCTAACCCTCCCAAGAAGTAGCCAAAATGGCAGCTCCTGGGCAAAGCCCTTCCTTGCAGCTTAGACTGCGCCCAGCTACAGAGGGGCAGTAAGTGGTTCAACCAGGTCCCTCCGCTCTCCTCCCCGCGCTCCTGCCCTCCTGCGGCAAGCACACCGATGGACTGTGATTTATCCGTTTACATGCCTCGCTCCCCCACTAGATTATGAGTTTCTCAAGGGCAGGGGCTGGTCTTACCCATTCATTTTGCTCTCCCCGGCTCCCAGCCCAGGGTGAGCACCAGTAACACGTGCTGGGAGGAAAGGAATGAATAATCGGAGGCGCCCTCTGTAAAACCACAGTGGGCAAGGCATCCAACTGTGTCTGTTCCATGCAAGGGACTAAAATAATTAAGGCAAATCAGAATCTAATGAATAAAAGGAAGTGATGGCTGCAGAACTCTGCGTCTACAGCAAACACTCCTTCCCTATCTGGATACGGTAAGGAGAGGCTTATCTGATCACAGCGAGGTGGGAAAAAACCAGATAGACGCAGAACAGCCTCTCACCGCACTTGTAAATGTAATCCAAGGGGCAACGAGGTCGAGGTTTCTGGGTTTTGTTTTGTTTTAAGAAGAAATAGGAGAGGAAAATATGAAGAGTAGAGAACTGTATCAGTTGGACTCCGCTTCGGAGACACCAAGCAAGATCTCCCTGGAAATGGCCAGACGGGTGCCCATCGCGTATGTCTGAGAAAAGTATCAGATTTCTTGGCCAAGATCAGGTTCTCTCGGGCTCAAAACAAACTCAGCAAGTGGCCACCGGTTCAAGGCAGGCTGCGGCCAGCTGCCTCCATCTCCCTCACCCCCAGCCCCCCCAGCCACCTGACACTTGGTGCTGCAGGTGATCAGCCCGAGAGCCTGGCTGAAGCTGCTGAAACAGGCCCGCTGGAGGCCTCACTATTTGCTTTGCCTCGGGGATGCAAGCATCCTGTCTTTGACAGCAATTAAATGTGAAAGACTCAAATATTGCCTAAGAAGAGAGGCAAAATATTTATCCATGTGTCTGCAGGTCCTGTCAGTGCGCTGGGCTTTTGTAAATACAGGCACCATCTGGGCACCAAATTCGTGTGCCCAGAACGTCTTCCTGATACAAGTAAATTTTCCGGCAACAATCCAGAGGGGCTACCTGAGATGCAGGGGAGAAGCCCATGGCCTTCCCTGGAGGGAAGGTCAAACCTGACTCCTACATTCCAGCCCGGAGGCCTCAGCCTAGATAGGGTGGGGGCACCCTCAGGAGTGAAGACACCTTAAGCCTTCATCTATGCTCTGCCTTCGGAGCTGGTGACCCTCCTATTGGCCACCTCAGGCTCCCAGACAGACAGGATACCCAAATGGGTAGTTAAGAAGAGTTTCAAAAACAGAGAATTTACAAAGCTAAGCACAGGGTGTAAAGAGGCCGGCAATGGGGGTTGTGGGGACCTAGGGCTGGCGACAGGAGTTGGTGTAACCCCAAGCCTGGAGAAGCAGAGGGAGCAGACACCAGAACCTAGAAAGGATGGCTGCATGGAGAGGGGTGATGTGACCTTGGGCAGAGGGTCATAGCAAGCCTGTGGTGAGGTGACCAGGAATAAACACGCAACCTCTCACTCCCCGCTCCCCCAGTAGCCAAACCCTCCAGAAGCTGGAAAAGTTGGGGGAGCCCAGGAGCAGAGAGCAGGTGCAAGGTAGAGGGGACCCAAGGGGCAAAAACAGGCGTCCAGCTCACTTCCCTTTTTTCCCTTTCTTCCTTTGCTCCTCTCCCATCTCCCTGGCCCTCTCTCCTCCTAAAGGCATCACTCCTATTCTCCCTTATTCCAACGTCAGTTAGCTCCTTCTCCCTTCCACCTGTCCCTGCAAAGGAAGACCTGGGGACAAGGAAGAATGGGAGACTATTCCCTTCCTTCTTCCCCATCTCAAATCCTTTAGGACCCAAGATCTAAGTGTGATAACTCAGATTAAGTCCTCAGTGTGATACTTACACACAGTGAGTGCTCAGTACGTATTAGTTATTACTCTCAACTGCTGTCCTATGACTACTTACTCTAAGGGGGCAAGACCAAAGCAAATCAGAAATAACATTAGCAACCACTGTTTACATCATGCCGCATACATTTTCCATACATATACATACATACGTAGACGTACATATTTACATATATAATGAGAGAGAAGTTTCCACACACGATAACCCTAGGAGGCTGGCAGAGCAAGAGATCTGATGTACCCTGGACATAGGAGGAAACAGACCAGGGAAGGGAGAGGCAGAGATGGCACCAAACACTGAATTCTGGATTCCAGTCATATCTTACAACACCAGTAGGCAGTTCTCCTTCTCCTGCTCATCTGCCATCAGCGAGACCTGGTTTCCGAAACACTTGTGGAAGGCTTTTATATATTAAGAAGGAACCTTCTTAGGCAAAGTGATTTGAGAGGCAGCCCTGGGACCTGCCCCCACTCTATCGAAAACTCTCTGCCCTGAATGGGTGCCATAGCACTTTCAATTCTTCCATCAGAGAGTTGTTCCTTTGGCTCAAGTACTATTCTATTA